CAAATTAACCAATCAGCTTATGACAAAAAGGGTCTATAAAAGGAATGTTGTAACTGAGCTTGGGGGCCGGATCTTCAGAGTGCTAGCTCCTTTGGGACTGCCGTAATAAACCTGAGTTCTCCAACTCTCTGAGTGCTGCTTGGTTTCTCACCAGTCTAATTTTGGATCTTTTCTGAAACAATAAGACTTATGCTATCATAACTTGTTTTAATCCCTTCAGCTTTTCACCCAACTAATATCATAATTTTCATTAGTCCATAAAGTTACCGTACATATCCAATAGGTTTATCTTTATTTCATAAATACTACTGTGTAACTAATTTGAAAAGCACATAAATTCTACTTTTCTGTCTTCAACTGAAGGGTAATTCTGTAAGCAGTCAAAATAATATGATATTTGCCACATCTCATGACAACACCAAATATACTTCCCACTGGAGAGTTGAAGTACACTTGTTTATTAATGTGCCATTAAAATAGCCACCAATGGTTAACAGATCATAACAATGTATTTTGTAATGCAGAGAAAAATTTAGGGAACAACATATTTTAATGTAATCTGCTTCAATATGAAACCTAGAGGAGCGGGACAATGGGCCAAGCAGTTCATTTGCCACATCTAGGAAATGTACATTCACATATTATACTTTCTGAAGTAAAATACATGTCATTAACTATGTTAACCACAGGATAAGAAGGGTTATTTTAGAATTATAACTGTTATCATTCAGTGGTAGACATGAGTAATTGAAAAAATGGAAAAACTTAAAAAGGGAATGAAGTAATCTATTAAAGGGGACGGCCTCTTTATTTTTCATGGCATTAGAAAAAAGAGAGAACAAAGATGTCACTCTTCAATTATCTTATTTCCTCAAATCTGATTTTGCTATAGTTTGAGTATTTGATTGGAATTAACATATTACTTATAATGTTATACAGAACCTTGGAAACCATAGGTTTATATTCTAAAATTTATGTAACAAGTATATTATTTATATAATCAAGGGAAATCTATTCTTAAAAAGGAAGTCTTTCCAAAATTTATCTAAAATCTAATTATAAAAAAAATACCTGGAATGGCATATTCAGTACTACTACCAATTATTATAATAGTATTAGTAGTACTATTACTTATACTAATGCCACTAAGTAGAGATTGCTTTTGATGAGCAGGCCAAGGCAGTGAAAATAACAGTCTCTGGAATCAGATATGAGTTTAAGCATTCTCTTTACTACTTTCCTGTGTGATCTTGGCCAAGTAACTTATTCTTAATTTAAATTTTCTCATATTTAAAATGGAGATAATCCCACCTATATTCTAGGGCTGTAAGAATTGAACAAGATCAAATCCATGAAGCACCTAGCAGATTGCCTGAACACAGAAGGTTTGAACAAATATTAGTTCCTTTACTTTCTCACATCTCTTTAGTTCTAATTTTTAGAAAATGGAAAAAAAAAAAAAGCTTGCTTTGGAATGCAAATAAAAACCAAAACATAAATCTTAATTTCACCACTAATAGTAAATTGTGATTTTTTTAGAGCAATATGTTTGCTTTGTGCAGATCACTAAACAGTTTGTTTTTAAAAGAACCAAAAAGAGATCAAGGTAATCACGGGACTTGAAAACACAATTACTTTAGTTAATAATCTTCTAGATAACATCCTTTATTTAAATAAACTTGAGCTATACCTTTGCTATACCCTCGACTGGAAGATTCAAGTATGATTATAAAACTTCTATGACTTTAATAGGTCATTACATCAAGCTACCCTGTGACAAAGACTCAAGTTATCAGTGTTTGTCAGTGATGCACTACAAGTAAAAATAAGGGTAAAAAGTATCCTTGTAAATTAGAAAACCATATGTGAATCTTTAGTACTGAAGTCCTTCAAGTTTAGATATAGTTAGCTTAATTATGTTACAGAAAGTCAGGGTACACTGAACATTAATCACAGAATAACACTAATATAATATTTAAAATATTAAATACTAAATTATTAATATACCCCAGTGCTCATCAAATATTTGATGATTTTATTTTTTTCTCAATTTTTAGGCATGACAATACATAAACAATGTTGGACACATGAAAATAAATTTTAATTTTAAAGAACTCTTTAAAATGCCTTTAAGATCTTCCTTAATACATTTTCAATGTTTGATTGTTAAAAAGAAATTCTCTTACATCTATTTTATGTTCCTTAAGCAGGGAGAAAGGTGTGTAGCTGGATATCATCTTCGATATGGAAATAAGAGTATTTACTTCCTATTATTGTTGTCTAATTTTCATATTTTATTTGAGAACCTATTAATTCCATGTGCTGACTCATGGGTATCTAGAATTTTTTCCTTCACACTACTGAAGCCTCACAATGATTGACTGATGCTTATTTTGTCACTCTTCTAGCTACTCAACTTTACTATCTGATTTCTTTCCCAACACACTAAGATCACTTTGAAACTAAACCTAATTGTCATAATGCTAAGTACTGAACATTCCCACCAGAGAGCTCAATCCAGGCCCCCTTGTCACAGATCACTGAATCAGTGTTTATCAAGTTGTGTTCCAAACAGAAATTCCATAGTGTAGCTCAGAGGCCCTTCTAGGGAGGAAGCAGGGAAAGGGATTTTTCAGTGGGAAACACAGCCTATTTATGTTCCCCAATTCAAACAGAACTCTGCTTTTGTTCGTTTTAAACATTGGGTTTCCATGTAAGATTGGCAGGATTGTACTGCTTTAAAGAAAAGTCTGAAAAATCACTGATTTAGGACAATGAAAATATTCGACACTCAAATTACAATAGAAGTCTTAATATAAAATAGATTACTATTAGCCTCCAGTTGTTTATGGGCATAGCAGTGTGGCAAAGAGCGAGTTTTCAGAATGGGAAAAGGTAAGGAGAAAGATTTCTTTGACTTATAAGGTCCATAATTTGAAGCCAAAGTTAATAATAGTAAGTACATCTAGCTAACCCAGATCTAAGGGGGTAATTAGTCCAAAGATGCTGAAGAGAACATATCTGTTAAGTAGATGTGAAAATGTCTTCGATAATCACAGAAGTAGAAAACATCGACTCCAATCACTTTTCCCTATTTCTGATAATTCAGTAACTTTTCTCATTTCTTATCATCGCTAACACTAATTAGGTGAACTGCAATTAACTTTATTCATACGTAATAGGACTCTGCTAAAGAAATTATTCGCTAGTCTTGGATTATAATAAGAGAAAAATCCAGTATGAGGCTAAGTTTGGAAAATATTAAACAACAGAGGTTATTTTACTGAAGAATTCTCAAGGCCATATGTACACTTCATACTTCTATGATTTTTAAGGCCCTCTTTACTTCATTAAAAAGTTGTTTGCATCCAAATTGATCTCCTACCTCCTATAATCCACTTTAAATATCACTGCCAGATTATTGGATAAGGCATAACTCTACTCTTGACATTCTCTTCCTCAAAAATCTTCAATTACCTTTGAAGTCAAATATAACTAGGTATGAATTGTGTTTTGCTTTGGGCAAATAATTTAAACCCTGCAAGTCTCATTTGCTTATAAATGCAAGATAATACTGCTTCCATCTGAAGTTTATTTTGAGGATGAGTTGGTCCTTTGCACACCCTGTGTAGAAGTACTTGTTATCACCTACTAAAGCACTGGTTCTCAAATTTTGTTATGCATCATTATTAGCAGGGATATTTGTTACAAAAGGGGATGCTTGGGCTATATCTTCATCTGGACTTGCTAGGTCTGGGGTATGGACTTCATAGATCTCTAGAACTATACTGTCTTGCATGTGGCTATTGAGAGGGCAAGTATGGCTAGTCTGAATTTACATGTATGGTAAGTGTAAGATGTCCAATTTGAAGACTTAATATGAAAGGAATAATGCAAAATATCTCATTAATAATTTTTTGGTTACATATTGAAATGATAGTTTGGCTATATTAAGCTAAACAAAATATATTATCCACATTAATTTTGCCTTTTTCTTTTAACTTTTTAATTTAGGAAATTTAAAATGACATATGTGCCACACATTATATTATTCATTGAATAGCACTGCTCTACAATGTGGATTTTAAACAAGTTCCCCAGATGACCAAAATATATTATCCACATTAACTTTACCTTTTTCTTTTAACTTTTTAATGTAGGTACCAGAAAATTTAAAATGACATATGTGCCACACATTATATTATTCATTGAATAGCACTGCTCTACAATGTGGATTTTAAACAAGTTCCCCAAATTCTGTGGTAAGTACCTTCAGATCACATTTTGAGAAATAATATATGAAATTCTAAGCTCTCTGAAAGAACTGAAGGCTTTAGGTATCTTTATATTCTTATAGTGCGTTGAATATTGTACACAGTTAACTCTATAATACTAATTGAATTTAAATGCACTTTAAACTTCAAGTCATCAAAATACATAAAAAATACTTCATTAGAAATTGTGTCTTTTTTCTCCTTAGTTCCTAAATAATTATTTTTGAATTATAGTTCTTAAATGAAACAAAAATGTCAAACTACATCTTCGATTTATTCTCAAATGTTAAAAACAGTTTATTTTCTAAAAGAAGTATGGTTTTCCCCTATGGTTATCTGACTTCATGTAGAAACACGCTTTTATTTGACTAAATTCCAAAATTGTTGAATATTATTATACTCAAGTACTTCATTTAAAACTAGTGGCTAACATGAAATCAGGAACATATGCTAACTTTTATACCATAGTAATATAGCCGGATTGGTGAAAAAAAGACATATCTGGCGAAAGGGAGTGGGTCTCTATTTAGCGACAAATGGGGTGAGAATGCCTGACTGCCCTGGAAATAGAGAGACAAAAAACTAAAAGACAAAATTAGAAACATGTAAGTTAAAGTTAGGATGCAGAATAATCTAGACTTTAACCACTCTTAGAAGAGAAACAGTCACAAAATTATAAATATCTTTTAAAGACTCGTAATAGTCACTGAAGATCTTCCCACTTACCTCATTGCCACATTGCTGCCATCGATTACTATTGGTCTCAGATTTTCTCCATCATCTGTTACAATCTCTTGCATTGGAGATTCAGACCGCTGAGATTCAAAGGAAGACATTTCCCGCATTATACTGTTGTATTATACCTCATAAAACATTTGTTTGGCCTCACTTTTATTTCCGAGTTTGATAAGTTGTCTCAAAATATCAGTGAATAAAGCATTGGTATCAAGTTTGTTTAGCACAAGCTGAACCTGTTCTTCACAATAACCTAACTTAAGTGCAAACTCTAGTTTTGTTTGGTATTCTTGCACTACATCCGTGAGTTTCTTCACTTCCTTGGATGTAGTCTGAGACTCTTTGGGTTTAAAGTCTTGCAAAATTTCACTGTGTTTGACCCTGTGAGGCTCTAAATAGGGAGACCTACGTAGCTGTCTGTGAGTCTTGGTTAATAAGCATGACTCTACTGCAATGCCACTGAATTGTTCTGATTCATTATCAGAATTTGTGCTTTCTTCAGAGTCACCAGAGCTCACATTCTCTTCAGACACCTCTTGTTCTTCCTTCCCGGAATTAACTTTATCCATTGTTGGTTTTTCTACCATTGGCCAAAGTTCAGATGTACTTAAATGTGGGTCAGTGCTTTCCACATAAAGGTGGCCTAGGTCATGCCCCGGCTGATCCTTCAAGCCCATGTAGCTGTTACATGCACCTGACTCCACTTTGCTGCTGTTTGTTCTGTATTCCTGAACACAAAGCAGCACCTTGTATTCCTAGAGAAAAATGGAAAATATTTAGAATTTCATATTTACTATTTCATTTGTTTTAATAAACAAGTTGGAAAGAAGAACCAAACTACTGATTACCTACTTGGTGTTTGTCTACATCCTCATCCCTCCCTCACCACCCTTGCCAAGATAGTACTGTGCTGTTTTTCAGATGAAATTAGGAACTGGAAAGGTCATGTAATCCCTCCAAGGTGACAAAGTAAATAAATAGCAGAACTGGACTTTTTTATCCAGTTTTGTCTGACTCCAAAACCCATACTCTTCCCACTGTATCATGCTGCTTCTCATTCTTGATGGAAGCGATTTCTCCACTGTTAAAAAGGCCTATGTTTCTAGACTGACACATAGAACATGATCAAAAAGCATGTTTTCGATATGCTATGACAGGTTACGTACATTTTCTCTAAAAGAATTCATAAAAATGTGTAAGTATCCTTTTAAAGAGGAAGCCATGTAGAATGGAAGGAAAAATAAATTAAACTATCATTAATTTGGGTTAAGTCTAACAATCTAAAGACACTTCAAAAATAATTTTGGTACTGAGATCAAAGAGCACATATGCAACAATAGCCAACTAGGATTTAAATAATTACAAAGTGAATTATATTTCTTTTAAGAAATGAATAGTTTTGCCTTAATAATCTTTATTTTGTGAATATGAAATATGGTAACAGAATGCAATTTTTAATGTTACACTACCTTTATTGCCAGGGATACTACTGTCTATTTCTTTCCAGGGGATGGGGAAATGTTTTCTTATTGTATGCGCATTTATAGAAAGTAGAGATGAAACACTTCATATAAAATTAGCAGCAATAATTAGGTACACTGAATAATGTTATCTTAATTTCTTGAATTTTATGGCAGAAAATATTTCTATATTATGTCAAATAATTAATGAACCATTATCTGCATTTGGGTAAAAAGTCATTTTTTCTCCTATTTTCCCCTTACAGGAATGTTTTTACTCTTTAAAATGCTTTTGCTGTTTTCTATTCCCTTAAAATCTATTGGGAATAACTTCTTTCTCTACCAGAAACAGGTCAGCAATATATTATTTTCTCTTGTACTTTATTTTAAGGACTATATTCACACTGGTAGTTTACTTATTAAGGCAATTCCATTACTAATAATATTAGTAAGCCAGTGGTAGATGAACTTGAGACTGTCATAAAACACCTATTTAAATATCCTAAAAAAGAAAACTGGAAAAACATATTCTAAAGCTCTTCGGCATCTTATTTACACTAGAAAAGAGGTATTCTATAATTGTTAAGAGAAAATGCTTAGTGGTTTTCTAAATGACACATTTGAATGCATACATGGTAAGCCTATTAGACAGTGAAATATTTCCACACAATGAAATAAATTATATTAATTATGGTAAATAATAGAGAATAGAATATGGAAATCTTTAGCTTGATACAAGACACTTAAAATTCCTTCAGGGTAGAACTACACACTTCTTGCAGGAGTTTCTTCAGGTTTTATCCCTTAAGACATAACTTTAATCACTGTTCTACTAATGTAGTATTCATTAGTGTTTTTAAAAAATCCATCAAACTCTTCTGGCTCCTGATTGCACAACTCATAAAAAGTAATATTCCTTAGGTGGGCTCTATATACATCTGCTCCATTATTAAGCTGTATCCATTTCAATTATTTCTATTAATATGGATATGCATGAGCCCAATTATTTAGAATTAAAGAGATTTTGAAAACAAATCTTCATACTCGGTGATTTATTAACTATTGAAATATACTGACAACAAAACACAAGTAACAAATCATAACGGCCTCTTAATAAAGGGATACAGTTAAAAGGAAAATCTGCACTGTGGCCTTCACAAAGCTCCCACCAAAAGTATCTTAAACAAGAAAAACCTATTGGAAGCTGGGCTGCCTGGCAACCAGAAGCTTGTTGCTAAGTTGTACTCTTTTAACATGCCATCATGGATGCTAGCACAGTGAAAGAATAATTTGGTATGAACAAAAGCCTATTAAAGCGACTGGGACTTAAGTGCCTCTGGTTTACCCTCTGAGAACAATGCAGCTGCCGAACCAATCTGGAAGCTCCAACATCTGACTGCAGGAAGCGTATTTAATGGGCAGCGTTTTTGATCTCCCCTGAAGTTTGGGTTTTCCATAAGTGTGCTATTGTGAGATCATTCGAGATAGTAACTCACAGACCAAATCTCTGAATTGAACTAGGAAATATTATTTTAATATTGAGCTGTGATGTTTTTCTTTTGGACAATTTCAAATAAGATAAATACTTTATGAAAAATAGAGCCAGTGCGGAAAATGAGAATGAAATGTTATGTTTAAAGCATAAGTGAAATTGTTAATTCTCTCATTTTTCAAAGAAACAAAACCAAATACCGTAAGTTTTTAAACTGAAAATTATCCACCCTAAAAAGGCATTTAAATCTTTTTATATCACCTTCAGTCAAGTATAAAAAAAGTATGGATGACACTGTGTTAGTCTGCTATAAGTTATTATATGGCTATAATCATAAAATAGAGAGAAAAATAGGATTATTTGTTGTTTGCTTTTTATGTTAGGCCAGATAAAACTCTTCTCTACATGAATGTATTTAGTGACTTGCACACAACTTCACCTTCTGATAATTCATAAAATTTATATAGACTATTTAAACAAAAAAGTCTGAAGTAATTGGACTAACATGATTTTTAATACTAAGGATAAATATAAGCTTGATTTAGTCTACTTAAAAAATTAACATCTAATTTTGTGGCAAAGTAATTTTTTTTCAAAGATTCTGGTTTAACTTTTTTTCATACTGACAGGCTTCTCTTAATCTCCCAGATTTCACTGGTTGCCTTAGAGAAAGTTATTCAATGTCATTTATTACTAAACAAGCAATTAAATATTTTTAGATCCTGTAAATCAATAGACTAAATATGACATAGTGCAAATAAAGGCAAATGAGTTCAATGACCAGGCCTATAAATTGCATATATCTTCTCCACTACATAATACAAATTTGAAGAAAATGATTTGTATTGACCCAAATGGTAAAGATTTGGTTTTTTGAAAACTTTAGTCTCTAAAATACTTCCTTAACCACATGTAATTAAGAAATGATTGTCTTAACTTAATATGGCACTTAAAAAAAAAAAGAATTTGGCAGTATCTTAAAATCAACCAAAAAAATTAAATGCTGAGATTTAAAAACTCATAAAATATTTTCATATGCTGCAGTACTTGTTAATAAATGTGTAAAACTTATAAGAAATTATAAGATATCTTAGGACAAAGAATGATATCTTTTGTTCAATGCCTTAAAAAAGATCGATATAATTTTGAAAAATAAAAGATAACAAAGACACTAATTACATCACAAAATTTATGATTACATATATAGTAGTAAATTTTTCTCTTTAATTTTGAAATAGACTTTTAAGTTTTGTAATTACTCAATTGCAAGTGCATATAAACCATCATTAAATTAATCAGCTATTAGCTAATAAGGGTAATTTCCCTCATTTCACGTAGAAGCAGCATAGACAAAGTTTCACAGACAAAGTAGATAAGAGTTTATACTGATAGTTATTAAAAACTCCAAAAAATATGACTTTTTAATCTTTATATCAGGAATTCATTATAACTGACCTTAATGTACTATATACATATTATATTCATGAACACAAAAATAACCAGCAAAAATATAATAGTCTGAAAAAAGGTTTCTACACATATAAAACTGCAGATTCTCTCCAGATAGTGTATAAAACTAAAACAATTGTCCTTACTAAAGGCCTAATACATTAAAAATCAAATAATACCGTTCATTGAAAAAGAACTAAATTTTCATGCTAATTTTATAGATGATGATGAAGTGATTAATTGTTTTAATTGCTAAAAAGAAACTTTACATTAGCAGGTTAAGGACATAATGGTTATTTACTAGAAATTTGTTGCATACACAGAAATTCCAAAAATTTGTTGCATACATACAAATTCCCTGTTTAGTGAGATTTTCTGAAAGTTCTCATTAGATGACTTGGGTAATCCTTCTCAGATCCAGTAAAAATAATTTTTTTATATTCTAAAGAACCTCATATTAATCAGGAATATTAGACCATAAACTTGTTAAATCAATTTATTTGTTTGCAATGTAAAGTTACAATGCCATAAAGTGGGTTCTGGTTGTTACCCAAATGGTAATACTAAGAGAACAATGAAAATAATGAATATGTAATAAATACCTACTGCTGTAGTTTGTGTGTTTAATCACCATTGTATTTCAGTGAGTGCTGTTGTCTGCATCCCTCTAGCTAACAAAGGAAGATGTCCTTTTGAACAGATTGGTTAATGCTCTAGGGCAACAGATGTCTACTGGAACTGCAGGAGACCAGCAACTGTGGCCTGCCCATCTTCTGAAAACTTTCAATAGACTTATGCATATGTTCACACAATAGGGCATGTGGTAGAAATGAAAACCTCTTTGTAACCCTCAATGCTCTTTCTCTCCCTCTCAACTGACAGACAAAAGTCTTTGTCTCCTTTCCCCACTGTAGAACTCCTGAAAACAACAGTTCTTGAAATTATATCTTCAATCTAATATCTGAAATGAGTACAAGGAAAGGAAAAGGTGGAAGAGAAAAAATTTGAAACTATACATGAGTACTGAAACTGCTGACAAAGCAACTGAATGCTTAATTATCATTGTTTCAAAAAAGCTATTAGAAACATCTATCTAAATCAATCCATCTTCCCAAGCTAGGTTTTTAAGACAATGGAAAAATCCATCAGATCTTACTATCATTTCATGTGTCTGACAGTGACACCTTAAGAAGCATAAGAATGTGACAAGATAAAATCTAAATTCATTGTTCATCTAAATATCAGAACACGTTATAACTTATCTTTAAGTACCAATGATTACATGCCATGCCTGATGCCCTACAAATGCTCATGAAGCTGTAATTATAAAACTCCAGAATTTCAAAATGTAAAA